GTTCCAACAGAAGCCTAGTTTCAATGGACTTCTGCACAGTGCTTATCCTATACTCTCCAAGAGATAAAGATAAACTCCCAAAGAGTGTTATCCTTATCCATGATGTAGACCTTCCTCATTCTAGGACTCTTGTGTCTTATCCGTTTATCCTGGATTCCGATATCTTCGGAGATAACCTCGGCCTTACCGAGATAACCTCGGCTTCATGACCAGGACACGTGGCACCTCGGCTGACACGTCGGCGTCACCTTAGCCACGTGTTGATATTCAAAAAATATATCCTCACAGAAATAAATTTAAGTCATAGATATAATATTCTGAATAATTTTTAAAATTTTACGTATGAAATTGTAGCATTACTGTTGACCCATTGGGAGGGACTTAGGGAAGATAGAACTTTGAAGGAACCCCACACCACTGCCCAGGCCTAGTCCTCCCTGTAATTGGCCTTTTGACTTTGATTGCATTAAGAAAAGTGGGCCTCCATGTGAGAATTGTGTTCTAAATGGAAATTTTTTAAACCAATTTTAAAAGCGTAAATGGACTGTATAAGAGCTCGTTTGGGAAGTTGAGGTTTGAGATTTTTTGGTTAAAATAATTATAAAAAAATAAAATAATTTTTTTAATTTAATAAGATAAAACATTACATTCAACACATAATTATTATATTTTTTCTCTCACAAAAAGTCAAAAAATTCTTTCAAAACGAGGCTTTTAAGCCCCAGGTGAAAAAAACTAACATGCTTTTTAACATTTTGGCTTTTTGGTTAAAATGTGATATAATAAAAATTAGTATGTTTGGAATGACTTTTTGGCTTCTTACGAAAAGATGTGCAAAAAATAGAGAGAAAATGAAATCTTTGACTTTTTTGTATGAGTTGTTGACTTTTTGATTTTTTTAATAACTTTTAAATTTTTTGACTAAAACAGTCACTTGCCAAATGAGACCTAAAAATCTAACCCACTTTCCAAACAAACCCTAAGTGAAATTGGTAACCTTGTATTAGAGCATACACCCCATTTACACTTTCTTTTCTTTTTTTTCTTTTTTTTTAATAATTATTTTAAAGTTATTCACAACTAAAACACCATTCTCTCAAGATTATTTGCTTTATTTATTTTTTGGAGCTTTAGATGGAATTTATATAATTTTTAAAATGTTACTTCAAATGATTTATACATTACACTATTAATTATTGATAATGAGAGTGAGACTCACGCCTCTATACAGATGTGGGCAGAGGGCCAGAGCAATTCCAATCACGAGTGGTAGTGTACTAAAAAAAATAAAATTACTACACCTAATTTTTAAAAAATAATGTGAGTTTTTCAAATTAGGGTATAAATTTCATGCAAATATACTTTGTAGTCCATTTTTATTTTCTTTACCATATTTAAATTTTTTTTGCACATATGTCAAATTAACTATGTTGTTTATTGTTATTAATTGTACCATTATGAATAAAATTTTGAAAATAATAATCAATTATAATATAAAATTCATCTCCTATTCAATAAAGTGGTAGTGATAATTACATAAAAAATTGTTTAAGCAAAGACGTGTTGACAAGAACAATCTTTTAAAGAGACGTTAAAAAAAAAAAAAGAAAAAAAGAAGAGAGATAAAGTAACTCAAATAAATTAATAATTCAATAAATTATTTTTTTTAGATGTTATCAAAAGAAACAAGTAGGGATGGGTATACCGGTCCAGTGATCTGTCAGTCCTCTCAGCCCAGCCCAGCCCAGCTCACTTGTTTGAGGGTACACCTACAGCCGCATAATGTTAGAATCGAATAGTTGGTGAAAGTGTTAGGTACACTGCAGCTGTAGTACAGTTCAGCCCGGCTCGCCTGATAAGAGTATCCACATCAAACTCTCTAAAGTTATTGTAGAGAGCATCAACATCAAATTTGTTTTCCATCAATCTCAACAATTTTTTCTAAATTAACTTTTTATTAAATTTGCTACAGTACTTCAACAACTTTGTTGAGCCACTGTTCATTAGCTACATGATTTTTTATTATATTTTCTGAAACAAAACTAAGCCAAAATCTTTAAACCGGTCGTCCACCCGGTTGTTCTGTGAGTGCTTGTAACAGAAGAAGAAAAACGCCCAAAATTAGCTTAACCAGTCGACTGGTCAACGACATTTTTTTTTTTTTTACATTTTTTAAGAATTGTTTGAGTGACATCTCATCAATTTAATAAAAAAAATAAAGAATAATAAATACAATAAAAAATTTAATATTTTAATAAAATTAAGTTAGAATAGAGAGAGTGATACAGTGAGTAAGGTGACAAGCTAAAATAACAAAAGTAGAATTTAAGTTATAATTTGATTCAAAATTTGTTGAGGCTGATCCAGATGTTCTAAGAGCTACTACAGTGTTCTTTTGTTGTTTTCAAAAAATTTAAAAATTTTGGAATCAATTTTTTTTTTTCCCCTCTCTCTCTCTCTCTCACAAAAGTAATATACTAAGGGTGTGTTTGGTACGCTTATGTTTTCAGTTTATATTTACAAAAATTTTATAAACTAGTTTTTGTTTATTTTTAGAAAAACGCGTTTAGTAATTGAAAAATGTTTAAAAAAATTTAAAAATAAAAAAAAGAATGAGAAATGGCAAGTGGTGGTGAAGACGTGGTGGAAGTGGTGACGGTGGGTGGTGGGTAGCTGGTGGCGGGTGGTGGTAGCTGGTGGCGGTGGTGGGTGGCAGCGAGTGGGTGGTAGTGGCGGGTGGTGGTGACAGGTGGGTAGCGGATGGCGGGTGGTGTGGTGGTGGTGGCGGCGGGGGGTTGGTGGCTGGTGGTGGTGGTGGGTGACGGTGGCGGGTGGTGGGTGTGGTGGCGGTGGCGGATGGCGAGTGGTGTGGGTGGTGGATGGTGATGGTGGGTGAGTCGGTAACGGTGGCGGGTGGTGGGTGGTAGCGAGTGGGGCTGGTGGTGGTGGCGGCGGCGGCGGCGGCGAGTGGTGGGTGGTAGTGGCAGGTGGGTGTGGATGACTGGTGGTGGTGGTGGTGATGTGGTGGTGGTGGTGGGTGGTGGGTGACAGTGGTAGGTAGCAAGTGGGTAGTGGTGTGTGGATGGTGGGTGATGGTGGTGGTGGCGGCGGTGGCGGATGGGTGGTAGTGGCTGGTGGTGGTGGTGGTAGGTGGTGGATAGTGGTGCAGGTGGGTGGTGAGTGGTAGTGGCAAGTAGGTGGCGGTGGTGGTAGCGGGCGGGGATGGTAGTGGCGGGTGGATGGCAGGTGGGTGGTAGGTGGTGGTGGCGGCGGCGAGGAGTGGGTGGTGGTGGCGGTGGGTGGCAGGTGGGTGGTGGTGGCAGGTGGGTGGGGGTGGGGGGTGGCAGAAGACGGTGGTAGAAAATGGTAGAGGGTGGTGCTAGTTTGGGTGATAAAAAAAAAAAAATGAAAACTCAATATGAAAACACATTTTTTATGTTTTCATTTTTTAGCGAAATTTATAAACTGAGACATTGATTTATAAATCAAAAATTTTACCAAACAAGTTTTTTTTGAGTTTTTAAAATTTTTGTAAATATAACAGAAAATTAAAAAACGTAAGTGTTACAAACGGCACCTAAACAAGCTTTTGCTTTCAGTTTTCCATAAAGCAAAAAAATAAAATTGAAAAAAATGAAAATATTAACAAACGAGGCACACTAACATGTGTTATCATCCCTACCCTGATCACCACTTTACCATTAATATATACATGTTTGTAGCTTACTGAAACAGGAAAAAAAATATGATTCAAAGCAGTATAGCCCAATAGGACAAACTTCATTAAAGCTATGCATCCGGCGATTATGTGCAAGGGTGAAAAAGAAAGAGAATATTATATGAACATGGTTGCAACAACATTCTTGTCTACTTAACAAAAAGAAAAAGCACAAACTTGGGTTTATTGGAGTATCACATATCCCTAGTATGACTCTTCATCAATCCCCTCATGAAAACAACATTTTACTATATAGAAGAGCTACAAATATGGTACAACTTGATACAAAAAGAGAGGATAGAGATGAGGCTGCACCAATTCGAAATGTCATATACAGCAAACACTAACGACAATCCCAATCTACTTTCAATTTACTGTTTAGGATGGATAAAGATGTAGTTAGGGTGTTGATCACAATGCCAATCTACTCAGGATTAGATTACATTGTTATCCACCTCCAAACTTGTCTTACAATGTGGAAATCTTTCACCTGTCAGCAAACAAAAAAGTTTAGTACTTTTTGACATTGGGTTTGGTGGGAAGATTTGAGAAGGGATTTGGAAAGGAAAATGAAAAAGTAAGTAAAATATGAATAAAATATACTTATATTTTGCCTAATTTCACACTTTTTTTTTTTTTTTCCAAATTCCTTCCAAATCTCTCAACCAAATACACCATGAGGGATTTGTATACACACAAACAGATGTGCACGTACACATGAACATTAGAAATTCAATAACATCATTACATATCCAGAGAGGGTCATTTAGTTTGGTATTGTTTTGTTTTTTTTGGTTTTTCGTGTTTTTGGAAACACAAACAATGAAAATTTTGAAAACACCATGCTTTTCATTTTGTGTAAAAACAATTTTTATTTTTATTTTTTTGATTGAATTTTGGTGCTATAAAAGTAGGCTGTTTTTCAAAAATTCAACTGAGAACAATTTTTGGAAATAGTTCAACAAAAACCAGAAAAAAAAAAAAAAAAACCAAACAGTAATCACTTTTCCTAGTTGTCTTATTTGTTTTTGCTGGTTTTCTTCTTTTTCTATGACCATAGATAGTAACCTAACAAGTAAAAAATTTCTCTAAATTCAACCTCCAAAAAATAAGGCAAGAAGAACTTGCAATAAAATTACTTAAAACAAGAGTCTTTTTTGTTTCTTTTTGTTTTTTGTGTGTGTGTGTGTGAAAAAAAAGAGGCAGTGATTGCAATCATGTCCAACAAGGTTAAAAATCATTATTCCCAGCCCAACTTAATGCTTCGAGAGTCATTGTTTGCTTACCCAGTTTGCGAAAGCTGTCTCCAATTCAATAGTTGATGAGAATGTGGATGCCTCTGCAAGTATGATGAACTAGTTCCAATGCCATTCTCTTCACCCACGAACTGCTCCGAGTAACTAGAAGTTGAAGGAGACCATACAGGAACTACATCTCCATCCCTTTCCCTCCTAATACTACTACCCGATGATTCTGCTGTTGAATCTTCAGCATTTTGCAGCCCTGTCAAAACATTAACTTGTGTCATAGTTGCATTTCTTTGGACCATCTGCACATTGCCTTGGTTTATTGCTTCTCTCCTTGGTTCTTGATTCACATTAACATTTCTTGGGACTTCTGCTCTACTGTCTGCAACAGGATTTTGGAGATCCAAAGAAGTTTCTTCCTCTTCAACCCTCAACAAAGAAGAAGTCATGCTCGGGACCATCTGATCCTCATAACGACGAACTGTAGTAGGGTTGTTGTTCCTTTCCGGTTCGTGATCCAAGTCCATTTGTATGTCAGTTGGGAATGCAATGAGCATTGACTCGGAGTCTCCAAGCCCTTCGTCAGTTCCATTCTCGAATGCAGCTCTTGAATCTGCTTCCTGTTGCCACATCTCGGAGAGGGCTTCTTGCAGCCTGGCTTTTGCTGCATCTATTTCTACAATGGGACTAGGGTAGTTGGATCCAAGCTCGATTCCAGCAGCTTGGAGTACAGATTCTGGGGCATTCCAGGGGTGGTGTATCCATTCCGTAGGCAGTCTAGCAAGTTCAGGTAGCCACCGACGGACGTATTCTCCATTTGGGTCAAATTTGTAGCCCTCAAACTGCAAAAAACAAATCAAGAAACTTCCCTCAGCTGAAAATTTTTGTCAACTAAGAAGCTTGGAAACTTCAAAGGTGTCATATCTGTGTCACATATCCATCCAAATGTGTCTCATTAATTTTTTTAAATCTTTTTATAATTGGACACACTTTGGACATTTGGAGGACATACGTGTCTATTGCTTTGATACACATGAAACATAGGAGTATTGGGGCAAGTTTAAAGAAAATAACATAGGGACCAAATGATTAAAATCAAAATAATGTTGATTCATACATATGAAACCCACCTTAAGATTTTTAAATTTTACAAACCGGAAGCCTAAAACTTCCAATTTGTTAAGATTTTCTATTCACCATTCTTTCTAAAACATACATGGAAAGAAGGTTTTAGGGTCCACACAAAATTTGTAGGAGAATCCTGTACATCAGCACATGAGCAAAACTTTGATGCTGAAACAAAGCATTCACTTGAATCATCTACCTGAATGTGAAAGCCAGAGAATCCACATCTAAAAGAAACAGAGTCACAGACCCAAGCATAAATTTAACCAATTTAGTTAAAGATAAACCAACAAAAAATGTACCTGTGGATTATCTATACAATCAAACTCACGACTGTCAGGGAGAGTGCCAGATATATACTGCCAACCAAGAGCATCACTCTCGAGATCTGCATCTAATAAGGTATCCCAGAAATACTTCATCCCCCATCGCCAAGGAAGCTGTAGAACCTTCACAAAGAAACTAGACACCACAACTCGTATTCGATCATGTAGCCAACCAGTAGCCCACAACTCTCTCATGCCAGCGTCAACCAATGGATAACCCGTTCTGCCTTGTCTCCATGCCTTAAAATACCCCTCATCCATGACCCAAGGGAAAAACTTAAGGTGCCCGAGAAGAGGCCTTTCATGGCTGTAAGGGTGGTTAAAACTCATATATCTTGAATATTCCCTCAGTCCAATAGACTTGAGGAACAAATTGACACTCTCTTCACCAGCTTTGTTCCCTTCATTAGCCCACAGGACTTGTTTAATGCGTACAAGATGGAAAACTTTCCGCACACTCACTTCCCCAAAATGTAAATGGGGAGATAGAAATGAGGTTGTGGCGCTATCAGCCTTTCTACGGTTCTTGGAGTACTCAGTTAACGGTCCGTTGATGAAGGTAGTTAGAGCCTTATCGGCATTGCTCCACCCAGGAGACCATGTGCGGGCAAGAAGTGCATTGCTTCCTTTCTCTAACTCATCCTCAAATATCAGTGTGTCTGAAGGGCATCTAGACACATCACCTGAAAGCATGCACACAACACACGCCAATAGAGAGAAGAGTTGGCATTCAAAAAATTATGAATTAGGTTCAAGTACCTTGTATAAAACACAAAGATGTTAGCTTACACAACTACACATTTTTCCAGCCAAAAAACATATTATTTCATCAATTGCTATTTCTTTTAATGCCTATTGTGGCCATTCTTATACAGGCAAGCTTTTATTCCCACCTTGACTAACAATTTGAGATGGAGGAAGTATCTATTCGAGGGTTCTATTTTAGCACTGTGCGTAGGCAACCACGGTTTTGAGTGCTCATCTAAACAGGGCTTCATGATCTCCAAACTTGCCCTACCACATTGGATTTCATGTCTTATTTCAGTATCTTCAAGCAATGTGAACGAAACAATCATAGGCCTGAGGGTTTATCCTAGTTTAAGAAGCACGGACACTTCTAAGAAGGTGACGTATTCGTGTCGTGTCCGTATCGGACACTGACAGTCTTTAGACACTCTTAGGACACGTATTCGACACTCTTCAAAACGTGTCCTATTTTTAAATTTTTTTTAAAGACTCACACTCTTTAGACAATTTGAGAACACACGTGTAAATCGCTTAAACACACGTGTCTATCGATTAGACACACGTGAAACTAATTATAAATTTGAACAAAACAACTTAAGATATAATAAGAAAACAAAACCCATAAAAATTTATAAAAATTAGTATCATATTGCATTTTTTATTATCTTTGAATAATATATTTATGTATATAATATATAATAAATATATAAAATTATATATTTCATGCGTGTCCCCCACGTGTCGTGTCCTGCATTTTTTGAAAATTAACGTGTCGGCGTGTCCGTGTCGTATTCGTATCGTGTCACGTGTCCGTGTCCATGCTTCTTAGATCCTAGTCTTCACATTGTCTTAATAAAGAGCACATATAATCCATGAATCAAAATATCAAGAAATCATTCTTATAGTTTTAAAGACTCAATTATGAGAAACTAATTGAATATAGAGAAGAATATTTAAAAGAATACTTGAAGAAAACACACCTGAGGTTATCCTCTTAGGTGGGAGAAGTGGAGCCTCAGGATCATAAGGCATACTAAGGCATCTCTCCCAGAAAGCTTCAAAGATCGTGAATGGGTGACCTTGATCATCATGAACTTCCCAAGGCTTGTACAACAAGTCTGCATTGAAGGATCGCACAGCTATGCCTTGGGCTGTTAAAACCTCCTTTGCCCTTTGATCCCTAACAAGCGACAACGGATCTAAAACAACACAAAAACGAAATGTAATTGAGGCCGTGGACATAACACTCCCAAAAAAAAAAAAAATGCTTGTTTGCTAAGGTAATAGGAAGACAATTAGGAGCACAGCAAATCAGAAAAAAAATCCCCTTTAGAAATTTGAAAATTCCTTCCCTCTGTTCCACCTAAAATCTAATTACACGAAAATTCAATTTAGATATGCACAGATCAAAAAGTGGAACTAACAATGGCACAGCTATCAGACACAACTCAAGAAGCTTTAATTTAATCCCAATTACTTGGGAGGAGCACAACTACCATACAAACATTAAAAGTCAAATTTCCATGGTATAATCCAAAATTTGGAAGACTCGCATCACATAGATTTATGCCTAAAACACCAGGTAACACGGAACACAAAGAACACACACACACAAAAAAAAAAAAAAAGAGGAAGGGAGAACAGTAATGATAAAATTAATTATTATTAAGAATTCAAGATACTACTCCATTCCACAGAAGAGGCACCATAAGCAACAATATTGGAATTAACTAAATGGAAAAACAACATTATACATACGTACATATATATTATCTTGAAAAGTTAGTTAAAAGTTTTTTTTTTTTTGAAAAAAAAAACATGTATAAAAAAAAAAAAAAAAAAAAAAAAATAAAAAAAAGAAGAAGATATAATTTTAAAAAAATTAAAAAATCAAAAAGTTAACTTTTAGCCCAATTGCCAAACCTAAGACATCAGATTTCCAGGCAAAGAAGACCAAGAAAATTGAATTGAAGTAACTAAACAAAAGCCCAAAATGTTGGGAGGTGATGAGAGAAAAAAGATACAAAGGGGTTAATGAAAGGCTAATTTTCCTGATTGAGGAGATGGATGATCCAAAGGGGGAATTGAGACTGACCATATAAGTGGTTGAAGAAGAGCTGAGTAGCACCAGTAGATTTGACAATCTCTAGGAGAGTAGAGACAGTATCAGTAGATCTCTTGGTGATAAGAGAGGTACCAAGGTTTCTGAGAGAGGAATCAAAGAGAGCCAAACTGTGCTTGAGCCACCACCTTGAAACCCTTCCAGGGTAGTAGTACCCTTCTTCCTCAGGTGCCCATATGAACACTGCAACCACTGCCCCTGCTCTCACTCCTGCAGCCAGTGCTGGGCTATCTTCTACCCTTAGATCTCTCCTGAACCATACTATGCTACACCCCCCACCACCACCACCACCACCACCACCACCACCTCCACCTGACATCCTCCAAGATTTCCAAAACCCAAATCACACAACACTCACTTTACCTAACTATTTCTACAATCATTCTTATTCTCTCTCTCTCTCCTGAGAGAGAAAAACATGGGATTGTTACTAATCATATTTTTTTGCTATTGCGTATGGTTTTGTAATATGAGCATGGGGATTTTAGGCCGTAAAAGCAATAAAAAGTGCATATTTGGCACTTATCTTTTAGGTTTTTTTAGTTTATGTATTCCCTGTTTTTGGGAACCTATTTTTTCCCCTATAATTTGGGTTTTATTGACAATTAAAATTGATGTTTTTGGGATGTCGGTATTAAAAAAAAAAAAAAGTAGATTATTTAAATTTATGTGATTGGATGAGTGTTTCCCTATATTGATGTTTTTGAAATTCAACATGTATAGTCAGATCAGATAAGCGGCGTGCCTACGTAATCTAAAGGTCTATTTTTGGTAGTTGGCAAGGTCTTAATAAGATTTGTGTAGAACATGGATAAAGTAAGGGCATACGAGTTGGCAAGACTCTTTCAATAGCCCGATTGATAGACTGGAAAGGAATAGTACAAGAAATGGCAGAGATTTTGAGACAACCAATGTCAGTTGCCACTACGGTGAGAAACCTTTGCCACCATCAGTGTAAGAAACGCCGAGGGCTTTGTTATCAGATTTCTGGGCTCGTTATAGGTGTGGTAAAATGGACCCATATGGAAGGAACTGTCCCCGAACCGGAAAAAATGTGAATAAATCTTATGCCTCAGCTAGATTTGTACCAATGGTAGGAATTGCTAATCAGGGTAGAGTAATTGCACTCATCCCAGAAAGCACTCAGAATACTATGACGTTAATCCCAGGTATCTATACTGTTATAAATGAATGCTTATGTATGATTGATTCTGAATTAGTGCAGTGTGCACATCTTTGCTTGGATAATTATTGATTTGGATCGGCATCTTTTTTTTGTATCTGCTGCGTGTGTATCTAGATTGGTTAGACCCATAAGATCGAGACCGTATTCATTGGAATGTATTAGGGATATCGATTAACTTTGTACATGCACATGTACATCTGGACCTATGCTCGGGGTAATTTATTTATATTACTGTCTTTAAAGACCAAACCATTGGAATTATGACTCTGTGATTGTGTGACCGGGTTGAGCACCCCAAATAATGAACACTATAAATTGCGAGATCATGTATTCTGATTGGATAGAAAATTGACTGGACTATGTGACATTATTAAGCCTTGACTCGGTCAACCTATGTTTTGTGGACTGATTTGGAAGCTCTGCGTTGACAAATCCTAATTATGTGTAATCGAAGAACCTTGTTTAATGTGTTACTGTGTACCATGTGCTTGCATCTAAGATTTATTTGGAACTGCTATATTGATTATGATACATACCTCCTGATATGAACAACTGCATGCATATGCAACTACACCTGAACTTATGTGGACAATGCTATATTGTACATGACTTGAAATACTTTGATATGAACGGATGTATGAAATAACTCCAATATGACTTTGAGGACTGAATAAATCTTAGAACAGTTGTGAAACTATCAACCATGTACCTAAGCAAACGAAGTATGCCTTACAGAAATCAAAATATACTCTATTTGAGAAAATTTGTATCTGATTTGATCCGATAGACACCTTTGTCTGATTTGGCCTGGTAGAACCCTCATTGGATATATAATTTGATTGGGACCTTTGTTTGACTTATATTTGGCAAGACCTTTGCTTGGATTGATTGATAAGACCCTCTATCTAATCTGATTTTGTAAAAAAGGGGTTAAGAATCGTGTATAAATAAATGGCCCAGATTATTCTTGGCAGAAAAACTGATAGACCCAAAAACTTGAATCCGTTTTGGAGTACTTGATTATTTGAAGACCTTTTGTGGGCTATCAATAGACCGATCTAACCATGAATCACTATGAAGAACCGACCTATAGTTGTTGAGACATACGTGTTACAAAGTGAACGGGATTGAGCAAATCCAGTGATTGGGGAGTTTTATGGAACAATGCTTGTGTATTGTACATTCTTGTTTGTTTGGACGCTATGGGAAACCGATGGCAGGTTAGATTGATTTGACTATAGCAGTACTGAACATTTATCCTTGACTGACCATAATATGTTTGTATGGGAGAGTTAGTTGCTTTAGTGTTATCGGAATTTTGGAAATCAGGTTATGGTGAGTGTATTTGTTTGTTTTGATGACATTCTTGGGGCGTCCTTTCGTGACTAGGGGATGTTAAGCCTATGTAAGCACCTTTGTTGAAATATCACTTTTTGCCACCGACCGTTTTGTACGGGTGGGTTTGTTTAATCATCTTGAGTCGGCACCAACGGTTGTGAACGGGTGTGCTTGATTCCGCCGACGATTATTCCTTTGTTTTTGTCCGGAATGTCATCCTTGGGTACTATGGGGGATGTTATTAGCATCAAAGGAGCTTTGAAAAACCCTGATTATCCGAAAGTGTGTGAATTCAGTACACTCTGTGTAAATAACTGCTCAGTGCCATTATATTATGTAATTGGGGCTCTGGGGATGTGTAAATTGTGCTTTAATATGTGATTGACTCCTTTGATATTGTCCTTGACATCATGGGGATTTGTATATGCATTGCCTTGTGCTTTTTGACGATTATCAGATAATTTGGACAGAACTCGATAGAACAGGGGATTTGAATGTGGACTGAATTGTAAACCGTAAACTGTTGAATGAATTGAAGGAACACGTGTATGTGTTAGAAATTGATTGCTTCGATGCTACCTTTGTTGATTCGGACCATCAGTATCTTAGATCCACTTCATATT